TTGCAGGTGAAACGAAGACTTTGGAAACAGTTGGGAAATAATTTCAACACGTTACAAATGCCTTGTCTTACGATGCTGCATAGCATTCAAGTAAATGATTTCAAAAATGATTTCAACAATACTATCGTCGTTGTTGCGATGATATAAAGAAACTATAACGCATGATAGAACATTTTTTTTCTCAACTTTTTTCTGATAACGTGTGTCTTATGCCATACTGCAAGAATTACAGTGACCACGGATAAGACAAATGCATAAATCATGATAATACAGTTTCAACTTATCTGTTATAGATAATATTTTACATCAGTATGCATCGCACAACTTGGGCGTGTAAAGTTGGTTCGACATTCAACCTGTTAATCGTCACGTGGTCGAGTATTTGACGCCAATAAACGTTTCTTCTCGATGAACTCCATGGATGTTCAATCTATAGTATTCTATTGATGTACAATGTTCAAACAATTGTCTCACCTTCAACGCACTGGCAGCAAAGAAACTTTTCCCGCAGACTTCGCATTGGTGAGGTCGTTCGCCACTGTGGGATCGCATGTGGTACACCAAACTGTTTTTATGGTGGAACGACCGATCGCATTGCGGGCACGTTAATTCGTCGTCTTTAAAAATATCGACAATAAAAACATATATACATACGTGTTCACAGACGAAGAAAGACGGTAGCTAGTTTTGTAACACTTACTCGACTTCCTAGCCTTCAGTATCTTCTTTTTCTTCGCTGTTTGTGGAATGTCAGACTTATCTTTGTCGTGCATGCCGTGTTCATTGATAGCTGACGGTTTTACATGGTCCCTATGTACATGTTCCGTGACATCGGTAATCGTCCACAACGGGGATTCGTTGTTCAACGGGGATTCTGTTTCGTCGTCTATGTGCGCACCTGTCTCCTCCACTGCAAATACATACAACGATCTCGATCAAATCTGTCCAAGAATTTGACCACTGTTTTACTTACCAACACCTCTGATGCCCTCCATGAGGTCCTCAGGCTCGCTGAATTCCTCGATAACTGTGTTTTCCAAATTCTGAACAGACTCTGACACAGATATCGTGATGTTAGTATTGGTCGCTTGTGCTATCCTGGTTTCCTGCTTGACAGGTTCATAGTGTACCTTCAGATGCTCGAAAAACTTCAACTGACTACTAAATCTAGAACTGCACAGTTCGCACTTGAACACGTGAGTCTGTATCTCGCCGGAAGCGCCATTCCCGTTCATGGCGTCTGCGTTTATCCTGCCGCTGTCCTTCCTCGCCGAGCTTCTCTTCGTCTGTTGCTTCAGTTTACGCGGTATCCTCTTCTTGTGCGGCAACGACCTCTTCGGCCCCGCGGTCGGCGCCGCGTCCTCGCTGCTCTCCGCCGACACGTCCACGTCGTACTCGCTTTTCACGTTTATGAACTCCTGTTTCACGTTATGCGGGATTCGTTTGAACGGCTGCAACGTCGGGTACACAGGAGGGGCGTTCGGTTCCGGGACCGTTTGTATAGAGTAGGTGTTCACAGGCGTCAGGGTTTCCAGATGTGAAACGTCCGGTAGTGTAGGGTCGTCGTGTTGCGACTGACTGTGAAGGTGTTGCTGCTTTTGTTGTTGCTGCAGTTGAACGGCGACCAAAGCCGCAGCCAGCCTCCTGTCCTCCTGTAATGTCGACGATTAATTAAAATCAGTTTTCAACGTACGAACTCGAGGAAATTGGCCCCTCCCTTATACACCTCTGTCAAATCGTGTTGCAGTAAATCTTCGGTCTCGTAATATTGCGTTGCTGCACCGTAGTCGGTGCCAACACCAGCGTTGATCATATCAACCACCATTCCCTCGGAGATCAGCTCGCCATTAAGTGTCAGAAGAGGCACGCTTTTGCTCAAAGGTTCTCCGTCTGCCCTCTGAATGGTGATGTACTGCGTACCTTCCATTCCCTCCAGCAGCACCGCTTGTGCCTCCTCCGTTGTCACTTCCATGTTCATCTGGCTTGGCTCTTGATAGAAGAGAATTTCCTCGAAAATTATTTCCTTGCCATCTGTAAAAGCTAACTTTCTCTGCCTGAAAACATACACACACACGAGTTGCCTTTAGCCTGGAGATTCGTTTTCAGCGATACACCTTCAGAGACGTTACGTTTTAAAAATTTGTCTCTGCTTTAGGAGGAAAGAAACGTCTCTTGTACGAGCAAAGGAATTGCATCACTTTTACTTCCATTTATCTGTTACGATTCATTTACAAAAGTACGTGATGCCAGTGTAGAAGAAATTTTCCGCGGAATTTTTTTTCAACAAAGAATACTGACTTCAACTTTTCACGAGGATAGTACAGAACGATGCCAATATTATCGATCATTTTTTTTTTTTTTTTTTTTTTTTTTTTTTGGACTGGAATTTTCACTCGTCCTGTCCGGTATTATATATTTATCCAGAGAACGTGCAAAAGTACAGTTCAAATTTCGCGCGCTGGTGTAATATCGAGATGACAGCGAAATCAAGGTCACTGCACCCGGAGCTCTAAGAAAATTTCCTCTCCTCGCTTGATTCGCGTCCCCGCGGGAAAATTGGCGTCCTCTCACCTCTCCGTACCAACCTGCGCAAGCCCGCGTCGGTTTTTCGTCTCCTTCGTGGAAAACTTGAGCGACATAAACAAAACAAAATATTGAAACACTGTAGGACAAAATGTGACAACAGTGCTTGGGTCTTGACGCCATTAGAACATATGTACCCTTCCTAGGCTACTTGCGCGTACTGTCGGCGCCGATGCCAACCTAACGCGAGGGAAAGGCACTAGATCTCGTACGATCGGTCACGATGCAGTGTTCGGTTTCTCCAGTTCACGCACCAATCTATAATCTCTCGCTTCCTCGTCATTCTCCGATTCTTGCTTTCCGTTCGCTGATATCTCGCGGCTGTTCAGAAATTTTTCGTACAGACCCGCCGCCCCCTCAATCTCAAGACTGGTTTCCATTGATTTCGTTCTGTCGGAAATAAGAATTGCTCAAGCTTTTTTTGTCGAATCGAAACGAGAGAAGTCCTCGTTCTTATCTTCACTAGCACGCACGTTTCGACGGAAGCTCTCGAAGTTGGCTCGACTTTGCAAGAGAGTTACGCATCAGATCGGTACACATCAGTCAGTGCCCCGAGGAAATCGACAAAGAGAAGAGAGGAGAGAAGAGTGTAACATTGCCAAATAGATTCAGTCGCATTTGAATGCGTTTTTGATTGCAGCCAGGCAGGCAATCAATCAAGCGGGGTTGGTTGTTCGGATCGAAGAGATGAAGAAGGTCTTGTGGAATCTCGAGGGAACGTTTGATCGTATGGCGGCCACCGGGTCCGATCTACGGAGCGTAATTGTTCTAAGATACTGTCGGTCGAGGATCGTTCGTCGAGAGTTGTTCAGTGCGCCCGACAGACTCAAGTCCGTATAAATGAACGGTAATCGGTCATCCGTACGTTTCGCTAGATCGCGGGGCGAGGGCCACATTTCGAAAGGCATATTTCCCTCCTTCGCGGCTGGCAGCGAGTCACCAGCTGACTTGTTTTCATCATTGATTCACCGTCAACTGGACAAGGTTGTTGCCTACGCACGATACTGTTGCCGATCCTCCGTTGCCGCTCCCCAATCCGCCATTCGATCACAGTGCTTTGAAGACGATAATCGGTACACAATTGTGACAAATAATCGTACATTCTCGTGATGTCGCCGATGGACAACAGAAAGGTAATGGGATCGTCGGTTAAAGCGCGGATCTTAAAAGTGCTTTGCTTCGTCCGCCGTGTAGAGGAGGGGATCGTTAGTTAGGTTCGTCTTAACCTAATGGAAGTCGAGGATAGAACGGTCGTTCATACTGTAATACTTGTTTTCTGTGATTGTTTCTCCCCCTCCCCAGCCCCTTCTCCCGCAGTGGTGAAATTCGAATTGAAAATTATATAATATTCTCGTAGAATTTCTGAATAGTCATGGCTTCTATGTGTCGCCACTGGAGACTGTGGATTTTGCCAGTTTCAGCTGGTCTCTACGCTCTGTCAATAGTTAGCTTGATACCGATCCTATTGGCCACCTCGACGTGGGCCAACAGCAAGAAGAAGAATCAAGCGGCTCTAATTGGCGGTGCTTTCGTGCTCCTTACATTGCCCATCGCGTTGTACGAGATTGTCCAGCATATGATACATTACACACATCCTGGACTGCAGAAGCACGTTATAAGGTGAGAGTCAATAACTCCTGCGATCAATATTCGTGTGTTTGTTTGGCATTGCTGCCCTCGTGTTTGCAAACGTGTACGCTCGCCATTCGAGCGTGTTTTGTTGGTGTGGTGTTGTTTCTCGCTTTGTGGCTGGCTGGCTGGCTGTCAAACCAGGCTTAAATTTCTCTCTAGTTTCTTTGAAAATCGAGTTACATCGTGGCACTCGATACTTATCGAATATCAGTGAATATATAGATCTTAGGTAAGTGATTAGTTAAGTGCTTTGCAATAGTTCCAAGGTGATCTGTCGTTTTGCTTTTGAACGAGATGTACTTGCTCGTTGTGCAAGGAGTACCTAATTTACAATTATTATCAGTCTGTCAGTATAGTCAGAATGTATTTATCGATTATGCAACTTACGATTGTAGATGTATCTACGTGGTACGCACTTATTATCTGCGTAGTCAAACTAACGACACTTGCGTTACGAGGGAAATTTTTCGAAAGGAATTCGAAGGGAAAGTTACCAAGGAATTCTTCGATTAATTGTTGTATGTAGTCAATATTGCGTTTTTTTATTTCAACATTTTGATATGAACGTAAATATGAAGTTTAAACTCTGAATCTTTTTTTTTTTTTTTTTTTTTTTTTATAAATCCTTTG